AGGTGACTTTGTTTCTTCAGTAGAACACAAACGGAGATTTTTAACTCAAACCGTTGCAGTCTGTCAGTCTTCTAATGGAAGTGAATGGGAATCACGACTTTGAGAGTCAAAAAAGCATACACAAACAAAACCAATTTAAACCCTGCGGCTCGTGACGATACATTGATGTGTAAAGACACTAAACGATCGGTCAGTGCAAGAAACTGAACAGTATTTATATAGTTTTTTACGTCTGATTCACCTCAATGTCCGAACTGTCCTGAGCGTGTTCTCAACAGCCGGCGCGTGGTGCGTCTTCTTCTTGCTTTACGGCAGATCGCAGGCTTATAAGTGCATTACCACCACCTGTCTCTCAAATGGACCATTGACACTCTATCTACAATCTCAATTGTGTATGTTTTTTTTTTTTACTCTCAAAGCCGTGATTCCCATCCACTTCCATTATATGACTGACAGACTGCAACGGTTTGAGTTAAAAATCTCTGTTAGTGTTCTACTGAAGAAATAAAGTCGCCTACATCTTGGATGCCCTGGGGGTAAGCAGCTAAACATAAAATTTTCATTTTTGGGTGAACTATCCCTTTAAGTTTTTAATCTAATATTCGATTTTATTTCATTGTTATTTCTATTTATATTCAATTACTGGAATGACCTTTAATAGTTTTAGTAATTTTAGTACAAATACATTCCTTCAGCTTATTTCAGTTAGTTGCCAAGGCAGGTTCGAATTTGCTTTCTTTTCCATCTAATAGTTATAGTTTATTAATATGTGTATAAAATATATTTTAAATTATATATTTAATTACCAAAAACAATTACAGAGTTTTAGTTTAACAATAACAACACTGCCTAGTAAACTATTCCTTTCCTGATAATATCTTTGAATGAATAATACTGTACAGCTGCATGCAATGTTGAATTCACAATGTTGAACTCACGTCATTGCTTTATCCAAAAGCACTGCTACAATCATGGAAGGAAACTGCTCTCACCAGTGATGTTATGGGCACACGGTTCGGGGTATTCAACAGACTCTTGGCTTGGGCTATCAATAAAACCTTATTGTTTTTCTGTGAGAGGATTCCATGGAATGTGAATGTTCCATAATGCCTGATGCAGTGACTTAATGGGGAGGCAAAAACAGCTGTGAGAAAAACACAGAGCTCTGTGATGGTCCAAACTCCTGATGGCCTGAATTATTCATAAAGATTCTCTGTGACCGGTCATCCTTATGTCTAGTTATAAGGTTCTATTATTGTCTAATGTATGCTTGCTCCTGCTGTTGTTTCAAGGAATAGTTCAGCCCAAAATGAAAGTCTGCTGTTTTGTACTTTTCCTATACACTCCTAATATTGTTTATAGCTTATATGTCTGTGTTAGACTCCAAAAAGCTCCATAAATGTATACAGTGCTTCCAATCCTCCAAGTTCAGTCATTTGATAGGAGAAAACAGTGAATTTAAGTTATTTACTGACAATCTTCCCTCCCCCAGAGCTATCAAATCTCATTTTTATTTACATATTACTCCTCTATATGTTGCAGGTTTGACATAATAGATTTTTAGGTGTAGTATTTATTCATCTCATTCCTTGTTTGTATGGCTGTTTCTTCATACACAAAGCAGTTAATGCGTGTTAGTATTAAAAACCACCAGATGCCTGCAATAGACCCTGTAAGCAGACTTAATGTAAACAGAAATGATAATTAGCCATCAGTCCGCATACCTTAAACTGTATTTTTTGCAGTTGTTTAACAAACATGAGAGGCTGTGGCAGCTGTGGCAGCTCCACATTTCATTCACTCTCAGAATGGCTCTTCCCGTACTTGCAAATTGCAATGCGATTTTAAGATCAGCGCAATTTGCATGCCAAAGTTTGCATTGGGACTTGCAATTGATTGGATGAGAATTCACTGAGGGGGCTTTGCATTGAAATCGAAGTGCTCTTTGGCCAGGGGCCAGTGGAGGACCTTCTTTTAGTCTTGTTTACAGTCTGTGAAATGCACTTGAGGCCACGTGGATACAAGAGGTGCATGTGCAGAAGCACAGCCATACATTAACATGTTCTCGGTTGTGTGGATTGCGTGTGTGTTTTAAAGTGTGGCGAGCTGGTGCATCTACAGCTGACAGAAGCACAACCCAACCTTCTGGAGATTGGAAACAACCAGGATGAAACCAAAAAGCTTCTAGAGGAACATGAGCAGCTCCTTGCTAAACTTAAGGTAATCTCTACTGTACCAATGCAAAATAAAAATGTGCTGATCTTAAAGCCCAATAGTTGTAGGACCAGACAGAAGTTTGGAAACGCCTCCAGTAACTGAATTTACATTTCACATGATCTTTAAATCCTTTTTTATTTTTAAAGCTTATTCTGGAATGCTTAAAATTTAGTTTTGTAGACAAATATAAATATGTTGTGAATACATTTTCAGCATTTATAATTGTAAGAGTTTTTTTTTAGCACAAAATCAGCAAATTAGAATGATTTCTGAAGGATCATGCCACGCTGAAGATTGGAATAATGGATGACAATTAGATTTTAAAATATATTCAAAAAGAAAATAGTTATTTTAAATTGTAACAATATTTCACAGTATTACTGTTTTTACTTTATTTTTTGATCAAATAAATGCTGCCTTGTTGATTAAAAAAAAAAAAAAATCTTGGTCTTTCAAAAACAAACTTTTGCAGAGTGGTGTAACTAATATAGTTTTTATTTATTTATTTAAGATGTTACACCAGATGGCAAAGTAAAAGCATCCAATAATATGCGATCTCGTTAAGTATTGCTTAAAGCGCATCCCAGGATGCACCTCATGAAGTTTAATGAGAGAATGGAATTTAGACCAGTGGTGGTGAAAAAAGGTTTTGATCATTCCTAAACTTTTTTGTAGGATTGATTACTTTTATTCTAAAAAGTGCAAAATAGTAGCTGTGTTCCAACTTTTGGTATGTATTTGTATAGTTGTCTATGCTTTATCTTAAGCACAATGTCCTTCTCACACAACCATGAGGAGATGATTTATGGGATTTTCACAGATGTTTTTTGGTGCCGTTGTTGGAGGCATATCTGTTTAAGACCCACCACTCAGTTTAAAGGGGTCCTATTATGCTCTTTTCTTGATTTTGTTTTGGGGGTGTACTAGAACAGGCTCTCATACTAGGTTGTTCAGAAAAACACATTATTTTTTCACATATTTTACATTATTACAACACCTCTCTCCTCAGTCTGGCATGAACGGCTCGAATAGTTCCTGTATCAAATGAAGGCCCGCCTTCTGAAATACGAAATGTGCTGTGATTGGTTAGCTGGGCCAGTGTGTGTTGTGATTGGCACCACTCGGCGCCTGGTCGGGACTCGGGAAATGTCATGCCCCTCTGCGAGCTTCAGAGTAACATATTGCGTCAAAATCAAATAAATTTGAGCGCGATTTAAACCCGGATGATTGTAATCACTCTAAGTTCGTCTGCCTTGGGAAAGCTAGCTTGTCTCTGACATAGTGATAACACTCGTTGCCTTCTTTAGTGCGGCTCAACCAGGTCTCGTCCCATTCGTCGGTATTTGTGATATCGCAAATCCCGGAAAATATGCGTTGTAGTCCAAACGAGTCGTTCGTTGTAGTTTTTGAAAAGTGATTTCTGTTAAATAAAATATCTCCTTTTGAATTGGACTTTGGGCTTTGTAACTTCGCAGATCTTTTTTATGCTCAAACAGCAACATTAGAGACTAACTAAAGTTGAAAAAGTGAAAAAGCATAATAGGACCCCTTTAACTTCAAAGGTTCTTCAACGTTTCATTTGAGCCTTTGAAATACAATTGTTATAAATCTGCTCTGTTCAGTGGGATGATTCCATTCATGATGAATGTTTTGAAGTTGAATTATAAAGATATTTGCAGGGTAGAAATAAAAAACTTAATGAAGAGAAATTAATAACAGATGTTAAACGTTTTGTGTACAGTTTCATAAGACATTTTGTACACTTTTATATGGCCAGATCCAAATAGCTGGCGTTACATCAGACATATGCCACAAAGCAATGCTTTCAGACCTTACAAGGAGAGTTCCTTGCTGCTTTGAACATGCTGTCTTCAAAATATTGATTCGAACATACAATTATATGCTACAGAAGCATTTCCGTGCTATATTTGAAAGTGAAAAACCATCAGAGTGCGCTATCTGACCAAAAGTAACTACAGGCTCAGAATGAAGAGTACAGCCTTTAATCAGAACAAAATCCTCTACCACAGCTAAAACCTATTGCACGTTACCAAACATTTCATCATGTACTTATGTGCATCTCATCTGCCCACCAGACGTTTCTAATCAGCATGGGGGCTGCTTTTTGTTTTGAGTTTAAATAAAAGTAAGAGCTGTGTACACTTACATGCTAGGGCAATGTGTTATGTCTAATAATTGAATTTCAATTTTACACAGAAAAATGAAGGAGGCGTATGGGCTTTGCTGGAGGAGGCTGATAAAACAGCAGCTCAGAAGGAAGGAGAGGAGCTGGTTTATGAGGCCATGGCTGTCTCTCTCAGTGAGGCTTGGAAAACACTGGTGGCCCACCTGGAGAAGAGGAGATCACTCCTGATCTTGGCCTGCCATTTTTTTGAGTGTGCTCTGGAGGTAATGTGGTTTCCTATAGTACCTGCTGAAGTACTATCAGAAACTCGCTGTAGGAAAATTGCAATTGTTGTTTAATGCCTTATCGTAAGGAATCTAAAGGGTTAGGTCACCCAAAAATGGAAATTAGCTTGTGTTTTACTCACCCTCGAGGCGTCATAGGTGTATATGCCTTTCTTCTTTCAGACGAATCCAGTCAGAGTTATATAAAAAATTGTCCTGGCTATTCCAAGCTCTATCATTGCAGTCAGCGGGTGTTGCAGTTGAACAGTCCACAAGTCGTCAAATAAAGCTCGCGCATCCGTAATAAAATGTCCCTCACACGGCTCCGGGGGGTGAATAAAGGCCTCTTTATTTATTTATTTATTTATTTATTGAACTAACCCTTTAACTTCATCTTTTGGTAATGTGAAAACATACATTCAAAACGTCCTCCCCAAGCTAAAAAGTCATTTATTGATATGTAACTATCAAAACGTAGCATGGTTAACTGCAGGTGTATATAGTTCATCACATTAACAAGAAAGTGTCTCAGTACTGTACTTTGTTTTAATTTTGAACAGTAAAATGCAAAACAAATGCAGCAGCACACTGTTCCCACAAAATGCAAGCAGCTTCCTGTTGGTCAGCGCAGAAAATCCATGAAAAACTTGAACTCCTAATTCTTGATCAAGTGGATTCTTATTGAAATGACACGATTTCTCTCATCAAATTTGTTTATTTGTGATGTGTTTTGCTTGTTGATTGTTTGTGTGGCATTAGTGTTCACATTTAGAGGCTGGCTGCCTGTTGGCTGTACAGAACAGCAGTGCATTTTTCTAACTTTAAAAGCCCATTGTTACAATTTTGCAACATTTTCCAAACAAGACATGATTATTTTCAGAACCAGTGGCTTTTAAAAACTATTTAAATAGGAAAAAAGTTCTGTCCCTGATGGTTAGACGTGCCACAGGGAGTGTACTACACTGTGTACTGTACAAAACAATGTTTTTGTTTAGAATTACAATGGATGAATTTTGTTGCTGCTGCGTCATTACGTCACTTCTGTAAACATAAAGAAGTTGTCCCGGCTACTAGGCTATCACATGTGAGGATGCTGCAGGTGGCAGATCATTAGCCTTTTCTCACAGCAGCTAGAATAAATGTCAAAAAAGAATTTTGATGGCGGATTGTAATCCAGAAAGAATTATATGAAACACACGTGAATGAAATTAAATTATATTCCAGTTTTAAATGTGCTTCTGATTACAGATAGCCTGGGATTACACAAGATTTGTATTTTAAAGACCACCAGTTCGAAGGGAGCATAATTTACTTTTTGGTTAAAGGAATTTCTTAATATGAAATTTGAGTGGTAAAACAATTAGAGATTAGACTGTACAGAAATTGAAATCTACTGGCTTATACACACTATACTCATAGTCACGCAATGCTGATGTTGTTAACATTAAAAATTTGAGAACAAAGTATAACAATAATAGTAATTAGAACGGTTTTATGTGATATG